ATTAAAGTTTAAATCTTTTGTTTAGATATGAATTTAATTTTTTTTTAAATTATTACTGCACACCCATAAATTATGGGGTCTCACTTAAATTTTTTTGGATTCGACTTGTGTTTTTATAAGATTTTTTTATAGGGCTAAAATACTTATATATTTAATTTTTTTATATAGACTATTTATGATATCTAAAAATTTAGGGTTTTTCTTTTTCTAAAAATGGGGCATAAATCCCAATTTTAATTTTGATAATACTGTTGAGCCACCCTGAATTTCATATGTTGCACACATAGCTGTTAACTCTTTAATTCTCTTATCCAGAGGGGTTAAAATTTGATAATGCTGAAACCCTCAATGATGTATATATAATTGAGCGATGTTTTTCTCATATTATGGAACATTATCCTTCTGATATAATATTATTTAATATGAATATAACTTTATCCTCAATGTAAGTGGGATTTATTTTTTTTTTAAGAAGGTTATGACTCTAAAATGGAGTTTTTTTCAATGTATTTATTCCTAAGTTTCTTTTTTGGACAGGTTATCAATTATGTATTTAAGTGAGACTCAATATATAATAGTAGATTTATTATTTATTAATAATAAATAATTTATCAAAAAAAAAAAAAATATATATATATATATATATATTAATGGAGATTTGAATTCTCTTATAACTTGTTTGGATGAATTTTTTGGAGAAAAACTTGGAAGGGCTTTCTCAAACATTTTTAAACTCAAACCTCACTTTTCAAAGATAGGATTCAACATTGTATTCATTTCATACTCATATTTAGTATGTAACATATACACATATAGGACTAATAAATATATCATAATTATTAATAATCATTTGCCATGAAAATAATTATTTTGCTCCTCGATCAATCTAATTTATATTCACGTGAAAGGGTATAATTATCTTTTATATTTTTAACCCTTTAACCCATCTTTCCAAATACGTCCCTTAAATTTAACAAAATTTATGATCATATGTTTAATATTCAAACAAATTAAAGGCTGAATTTTAAAACTCATAATTAAAATTTTAATCTAAATGTAAAATTTGAAAATCCTTTCAACTATTTTCTCTGACCCTTACACCCCAAACCCACAAAACAAACAAACATGCCCTTAATATATACCGATGATCCATGTTTGAATTATATCGAGAGAAATTCTGAAGTACGGCAGACCATTGGTAGATATTGAGAAAGTACAAGGGCATTATCGTAACCTCACAAGTCGTCCTAGTCATGTAACTCAACCGTATTACGTAGGGTAATTTTCCAATGCGATCAAGTACATCATAATTTGTAACTATGTCGAACGTCCCACTTGTATAATAACAATCTGATGCTGGCACGTGTCCGTTTCTATAAGCATGACCGTACTGTATCATTTCTTAGCCATCCCTTGCAGCGTACGATAGAGAACTTTACCTAATAAGGCGCGAACAGAGCTCTCTCTCATTCTCTCTCTCTCTGTCTCACTTTCTCTCAAGTTTGAAGTTTCTCTACAAATCTGTTCCTCCTGGCAACTGTCTATCTCTCCCTCTACTTATAAATACATACCCTTGTCAGAATTGGACTGTGGGGGTTTTTGATCACTTGCTTGGAAAGGTAAAATGGATATCGGAGTGGATGAAGACTCTCAGACTTACCTCTCCAAGAAACTTGATCACAATGAGGTACTGATGATTGACTAAAACCTTTATTTCTGATGTCCTGTAACGATTTCATGTGTGAATTATTTTCGATATTTACTACAATTTCGTTTATCGACTGAGAGATACTCATTTTCCGCTAAATTATATTGGATTATTAGGTTATTTTACGCTTTGATTGTTCTATTTTTACCCAATTTTCTCGAAATTTCATGCTCCGATTCGTTTTTGTACATGATTCAGATGAATTCATGTCCTCTCTGTTTGTGATTATGAGCACGTCTTAATTGTTCCGGTTTAGGGCATGCGAAGTAAAGTATGAGTAAAATGTCTTTATAGAGTTGTGATGAAGTTGTTTGACAATTAATTGAGTGAATTGTTGTCAAGCTTGTTGCAAGAGTTAGCTTTTCTTTTCATGATGTGCATATGTTTTGGTATTAAATGCTTAGGATGGTTACAGTTGTATAGATTGGTCAGGACCCTTAGGCTTACACTTTGGCAAGAATTTGCTGACTTCCAATAAGCAGTTTAATTATTGTGAATCCGACAATATCAATTGCTAAATGTAATGATAGATATATAAACTGATTGAATTCATTGGCAGGCTTTAACATAAATTTTGTATCGGATATCAGCACTTTTAGTATTTTAAAAACTAGCAGAAGGGATGCTATTTTTAATTTTTTTTAAGTTTTTATTATTATTTTAGAATCCATATTGTGAAGTATGAACTATAAATAGTATAAACAGCATGCCATAGTTATTGGTGAGCCTCAAGCATAAAATATGCACCTTAAATATGCTTCGCTATTTTGAATAACAATAATTAACAGTTGTAGTCTTTACGTTTCCTAATTCAATAATTGCATTAGGAGGGATGACCATGGGTTGGAGCAGATATGGGAGTCCCTACTTCCTCAAACCACCCGTCCCGGAAGAGCTCCTCTCCAAATTATGTCTTGCCTAGCAGGGGCCGAGCCAAAAATTGGCTTAAGGATGGACACTTTAACTAAGGTCGACCCTAGCATATAGAGATTAATGAATTTAGGTTTTAACAAAGATCATCCTTTATTTTATATATTTTAATTAAATAGTGTAGATCACAAATCTAAACTCTCTTATTTGAACTGCCCACAAAAAAATCTTATAAAAGCCTAGTGTCAAAAGTTTTTTTTAATGCAAACAAAAAATGTCATTACCAAAAAATATTACTATTTACCAAATGGTCATATTGAAGTCAACCGCCAATTACACTCGATTCATACATATATAGAGATATATAAAATAAAGGTGATACATTATATCTCATAAATAAAAGTTCGTTAAGTCGAAAAGGGTCAAAAGTTGATATATGTCTTATATGAAGAAAAAAACTATAAAAAGATATTAATTACAACTCTTATTAAAATGACAGATTTATTACATCTATTATAATTGACCCTGCCGTCTTTTTATTTTTTTATATTAACATTGAAAAGCTATCAAATAAAAACTTAAGAAGGGTAATAATTCCACTAGAATTCAATTGAAATAAATCAATCATCAATCTTAAACAAAAAAAGATCAGTTGTAGGTTAATTGCAAACAATTTTACCTTCAAATTACGAATTTAGAACCAAAAGAACTCACAAATCACAAATGTACAAATTAAGGTCAGTTCAATGGTGGAGACAACAAATAATATCAAAAGCAAATAATTAAATAGCATATATACAAACTGAAGAAAAAAAATTTGAGGGTGGGCCACTGCCCCTTGGCCCACACATAGATCTGCCTCTGTTGCCTAGTCTCAACTTGTCCTATCCCACCCTAGCACTCCTATGTGAAACCTTTTTCACATGTATTGCAACTATTAAGTCACTAGCCCTATCTGTGACAACTATATCCATGAACCCTTTACTCAAAAGATCATAGAATTATGCATTGCAAATTAAATGAATTATGATATAAAATCGCTTTGTCTACTATTAATTTTTTAATCCACAGCTTAGAATTTGCAACTCTACAGCAGGACAAGCTATAGTTGAGAAGATTCTTGTGATGCAAATGGTTGCATAATTATTTTTTGGACATGGTTGTGTGTGTATGTGTGGGTGAGAGAGAGAGAGAGAGAGAGNGATTGCATAATTATTTTTTGGACATGGTTGTGTGTGTATGTGTGGGTGAGAGAGAGAGACTGCATATCCTGAAGCCAACACATATATTATATGTGTTGGATCTTTAGGGAATAATGGAATAGAGTTAGGTCTTTACCTTTTGAGCTCTTTCGTAAGAGAGAGCCGACAGATAGAGACAAATTCTGCCCGTATTATTGCCGATGTAATCATAAAAAGCTAATTTTTCAGGAATTTTTGGATGTTCATATTTGAGTATTTTCCAACTTCAGTTTCACATCAAAACTAAGTAAGAGGAGTATTTTGTAATATCTGCAGAATGTATACCTTTGGGGGAAGGGTTGTTTTATATCCAATTTGTGACCTCAAACCTGGTGGTTGTGGTGGAGTTTTTCTATTCTTAAACTGCCTTAAATTAGCGTCTCTTTGAACTCTTCTTGGTAGGTTGAGCTAATTGGGCTATTTGGAAAACTGGATTAATTTGCCTTCGCCATGCATTAGATTGATTGCAAAGGAAATCTGGTGACCATGGGTTATATTTGAATTGGATTCTTACTCCAGAGTGTCCATGGATAGTTTTGAAGTCAGCTAACCATTGCCGGTGAAGTTAAATTATGTTTTTCCACTTTCCCTTCCCTGTGCCCCACTTGTTTATTGAGAAACAAATTTAAGAGAATGACATTGTGGAACTAATTATCTGTGTCTTTTAAAAGTTCTCAAAGTCTGACTAAGTAAAAAATAAAGAAAGCAACGCCTTGTATAGTTCATATAATAAGAAGGCTTATTGAAAGGTTTAGTATAGTCACTTTATGCTGGCTAATTAATTCTATGAGATAGCCACAAGGCATGGAACAATGAAAATAAAGATAAAACTCCCTAGAATGCTTGTATTCATCTCAGTTGCTGGAAGAACATATTTTGCACTTATTGAACATTTATGCATATAGGTGAAATGCCTTTTCCCCTCCCACATTTTCTTTTTTTTTTCTCTATAGACAAAAATATTTATTTATGGAGTAATGGTGCCCTTCGTTGTTGGTTGATCCCTCTTCAGTGGCAAATTTCATTTCTGCTATTTACAGAAAAAAACTTGCTTCTTCTCCTTAATAGTACTCTATCTGATGATAGATTCCCCTTGCATAAATTACAAGTATCTTTGTGATTATACCTTTTATTTTTGACAAAGACTCTCTCTCTCTCTCTCTCTCTCTCTCCAGGAGTCTATGGCTAAGGATCTTGGGAATTCTACTAGTGTAGTTGGATCAACATCTGGATTCCTTAATTCACACAATCTCAATGGTTCCAATTCAGATGTGTCATATCAGGATGACAATGGGGGTGATGAGGTTGACGATGGTGATGATGTTTCTAATTATGATGGCAACGATGATTATATATTTGATGATGATGACAACGGTGACAATGATGACTATTTGCATATGCAAGCACAATTTGATAAAGAGGATTTGCCTCCTGGGGTAGAAGCTTTGGTTTCTTGGTTGAAGGACCCTCCCCCCAGTGCAAATGTCCCATCTGCTATAAGCACTTCAGCCCAGAGTGCTCATACTGCAGGTTCATCTGCCTCTTCATTTCCTACTGAGAGTACTGAGAGTAAATATAAGGCTATTGCCACCAGCAGTTCAATCGGCACTGCAGAATCAAGTTCTGATGGGAAGACAGAAGAAGAAAAAGACAATGAAATAATGAGAAAGCTTGAGCTTTTCAAGCAATTTGATACAGTTGGTGATTTTTCAGATCATCACTATAGCCGCTGTGGCTTTTCAGGGCAACAGGTGATATTTGTTTCACTAGCACATCTCTCTCAATTTTTTGCTCTGTATGTGGACATTGTGTGCATTTTTACATAAGATTGCATGTATTTGTTGTAATCTTCTCTATGTTTTTTTCTTGATAGCCTCCCAAGGCTTGGACAAAGAAAATTCAAGATGAGTGGAAAATTTTGGAAAAGGATTTGCCTGGTGAGTTCTGACTCTTTGTTCAGTCATACGTTGTACCTCTGTGTTAGCAGATTTGGAAAACATGGTTGGTGAATGAGCTTTGCTGATTGACCTTTTCTGTTTGAGTGGACTGGATCTGCCAGTCATCGAAGTATTTCGTCATTTTCCTTGAAATGAAAATTAAAGGTTTACTATTATTTCAAATTTGTTTTAAACACATTATAAATTGAGGCGATTAGGTTTGACGCTTGTGGGTTGCCACTCACTCGGCTATGAGAGATTTAATTTATGAAACATTTCCTTTTGTTCTATTCTGCATATCAATTCTTGTCCATTTCAAATAATTAATTTTTTGTTAAATCTTGACTTTCTTTGTCCTCTTAGTTATTATGTATTTAGTTGATTAGTAGTATGCTCTCACTTCTTATTTTTACTTCCGCAGATACAATTTATGTAAGAGTTTATGAATCAAGGATGGATCTTTTGAGGGCTGTCATTGTAGGACCACAGGGCACTCCATACCATGATGGTCTTTTTGTCTTTGATGTTCTCTTCCCTCCTGCCTATCCAGACATACCACCTGTACGTATATGTGGTGGTATGATTGTTTTGACTGTAATATCTGCCACTAAAATAATGGAAACTTGTTTTTTCAATTTTTCTGTCAGATGGTTTACTACTATTCTGGTGGATTGCGACTAAATCCGAACTTGTATGATTGTGGGAAAGTCTGCCTCAGCCTTCTTAACACCTGGAATGGCAATGGAAATGAAAAGTGGATGCCTAAGACGTCAACCATGCTGCAAGTTTTGGTGTCTATACAAGCTCTGATTCTGAATGCAAAGCCTTTCTTTAATGAGCCTGGGTATGAAAATATGTATGTTGGGGAGGAGGGAGACAGAAAGTCCAAGGGGTACAACGAGACTGTGTTTATTCTGTCATTGAAGACAATGATGTATACACTTAGAAGGGCCCCAAAGGTTTGTTTTTGGCAATCTAATTTTCTTCTGTTTTTCCTGTTATAGATATTTGTCCATCAAGATGATTGAAATCCTCTCACATTCATGTGTGCTGGTGGTGATAATCATAGTTTTGTTAATAAAACCTGTTACCAGGACTGCTAATAATGGGTAACTGAGCTTAACCTGAGGTAGAGTGATTGTCTTGCAAATTGAGCCCTAGCATAGAGGATGTCAGGCACTAATTGGAATATCATAAAACCTATAGGATCCTCAGAGAATTCAAGCTTTGTTTATCCCTGGTGTGCAGTGATCATGGGGGCTCGTGGTTGGTTAATAAATGCTAATTCTTTTTAGAAATGGAGAGTTACTGCGAAAATAAAATTTCCGCTTCTGTCCCGGCAACTTATCTGTTGGGGTCTATGTTAATCTTCAGTTTGTTTCTAATTTTTTTCGTGTAATAGTGATCAATTATTCTGATCGTATAAACCATTAGATGCAGCTTTCTTTGGGATGCAGATTATTTTGCTGACGACTAAAAATAAACATTGAATTTCGTGACCCCTAGTTGAACTGGTGTCCCATAAATGACTTAGAAAATTACGAGGGTGACTGTAACCCCATATGTGATAGCAACCCGCTTCCATAACATGTTGATATTTGGGAGTGGATCCTACTATCTGGCCAGTGTGGGCATTGTGGTTTGAGTGGCTAAATTGCACACATACTATTGAGCTTTCTCTTCAATGTTTAACTGTGTCACTTTTTTATGTCTGCTTCAGCTTGGAAACCGCTCTCCTTTTGAACTCAAAATTCAGAATTCTTTCATATATTACCAGATACAGATGAGCGGTGCTAAACCCTTCCTCATTGAATGTCAGCAGTATAAGTGCTAAACCCTTCCTGCACATAGTCTAAACTTGAGAGCAAATTTAGGCACACACAAATACATGAACACACTTGTGTGTCCACATGAATACATGCACACACTTTTATGCCCACGTACTAATAGCTGTAGAGTTATGTGCTTTCGTGATTTCTTTAGCCTATGTATTTTTTTAGTCTAATTAGTCCTATTTGGCTTGCAGCATTTTGAGGACCTTGTTGCTGGTCATTTTCACGCTCGGGCACATGATATTCTGTCAGCATGTAAAGCTTATATGGAGGGTGCTCCTGTAGGTTCAGTGGTCAGCGGAAGAATCCAGGATGGTTATGAGGTTGCAAAGGATTGCCCAAGAGAATTTAAGGCAGCAATAGGTAGAATGATGAATGGTCTCGTTTCGAACTTCATTAAGAATGGGGCGAAGGACTGTGAGCAGTTTCGTCTGCCCAGCTGAGTTGAATCATTTGCAAGCATGGCTAAGCTGATCTTGAGGATGACACTTTTGAGATTAGCCTTTGTAAGTTCCTCCTTTTATTTCTGTTTTTGAAGATACTGCATGGGTGCGGACTTATATATAGGAGTATATTTGAGACTCTAAAACAGGTGTAGATAAGTTGGGCTGTTCTATGAATGAGGACAGTGCTGCTACTGGATGTATAGATCATTGCATCAATTCTCTAATTCAAATGAATATTGCTTCCTTGATAGCCTGTAAAGTGTCCTCCTTTGAATATTATAACTGAAAGCATAGGATTACATTAGTATCAGTATCCATTAATGCAACACGAATCCTAAAACAGATTTGGCTCATAATCGAAGTGTCCTTTCCTTAGCTATTTGGTGAGCTCTTTGTTGGACTAAAGCAGATTTTTTAGTTGTAAAAATTGAATTTTCATGGGATTTACTCGTCGTTTTGAGTAAATTTTCATGAATTTGTGTTCTACCGAATTTGGAAGTATATTTATTTGTTCAAATTGCGTAAGAGATGAATGAGATAATAGGTTCTAAAGTGACCTGCTTGAATTGTGGAAATAAGAGGTTAGACAATGTGGGATTTAACACTAATCTCACATTGGTTGGACAAATTTCTTTATATGTGTATATATATGCCAAGTTTGTACTATGGGTTAGGCCTTAAGGGATAGTTCACGCACACTTTTGTGAGAGGAACGAGTACTTACATGAGCTTTGGTTTAACGATACACGCTTGCCAACCCGCCACGACCAAGCTTAGGCTCGGGTGTGGTTTAAACCTAACCTTATATTTTTAGAGAAAATTCGTTTAACGAATTGGGTTTGAATTTTTTAACTTAGTCTTTAATTTCTATCCGTTGAAATTCAAAATTCGCACTGGTTTAGATTTTTGGTTTTTCTCCGGTTCGAAATTTTCAATTCGTGTCTGTTCAGTACATAGATATCAATGGTGTCTTTTGTATTGTATTGTGACTTTTGGGTTGTGTCTGTTCGTATGGTGGCTATTTGGATTAGTCACCATTTTATGGTGGCTATTTGGATTAGTCACCATTCTGTTTGTAAATAACCGATTCATTACCATTTTGGATTTGTGTTTTAGTCATTAAGGCGATCATTATATTCATAATTTTTAATATTAGCAGATTGCATATTTGAGAGCACATTACTAAATTCTAAGTGTGCGAAGATCGTTGTATTTTAGGAGACAGACGATATGTCTTAAGAATACAATGTCAAACACTAGATTTGATCTATTTAAAGTTGAATCAAAGTTTCTGTTCTACAAATGAATCGGTTTTATTTATTGTTTAATATGTGTTACTATTCCGTTCTTGATTATTATTTTTTTATTTTAAATTGTAGATACAAATCAGAGATTTCCATTATATTTGATAACTATATCCAACACACTCTTGAGAGTTGTGAAATAGGTATATGGCTCATGACTCTTGAAAGTGGTATCAGACCCACACTTAAAATGGATTGTGTGTTGGTTGAGTCAAGTTTGATTTGAGTTAAATGTGTTGTACACGTTACGGATGCAGATCATACCGTAATTCTTAGTATAACAACTTGGTCCAATATGAAACAAACATGATTCTTCTGAGTATTGGTTGTCTTATAAGGTTTGGATCACGACTCATTTAACAAATATCATGTAGGAATGACTAATTTTGACACGACATGACACAAAACAATTAACGTATCACAAAACAACTCGTAGAATCTTGCATTATATAACTGTCATTTTAAGGTCAATCCAAGGGACATTCCTCAGCCCCCTTGAGCAATGAAAGGAACAACCACGCGAGCATTAGGCTGTTGCTTTCAGTTTTATATAATCTTTTTTTTTTTTTGTTCAAAACCAGCAAAATAACAATATCATTAAGTAGAAAAGTTGAGGTTACAGTCGGTCGCAAGATAAGCCTTAAGCTCGGGAGAAAGAGACCCTAACCAATCTGCTGGAAGTGAATTGTTTAGTTTGTTGGCCGCCACCTAGTGAGCAGCCTTGTTAAGGGCCCTAGGATTGTGTAAAAAGTTAAGGTTAAATGACCTAGCCAAAAATCTAATATCCTCCATAATTACACTAATTTTCCATGGAAGAACATCCTCATTTGAGCTTAAATTAATAATATTAAGACAATCATTAACAACCGTGGCCTGATAAATCAATTGAGCTTCAGCAAGCAAACATGCCTGCCTTACTGACTCCGCCTCAGCCACCAGAGAAGAAGAAGCAGGGAAGATTTTGAAGTTGCCGAAGTCCAGAACACCTTTCCTTTTGCAAAGAACAACTCCACAAGAAGCTTTTGCCAATTCGGATTTCAAGGCACCATCACAGAAGACTTGGGGAGCATGATCCTCCTCTCGAGTGATATCCTCACTTCTTCCCAATTCTTGAACACATGTAGACAAATCCTTTCTGTCTAGAATGAACTGGTCAGCCCACATAGCCTTAGCACGTAACACAGTAGCAAAACCATTCACCTCTTCCTTATTGAAGACAACTGATTTCGAGCTTTCCATATGATCCAACCTACTGAGGCCATTTTCCCCAAGAGTTCAAGACGTCGTTGTATATCAGTATCCACAAGAAGCAAGGCCGTGGAATGTTGGGCAACTGACAATAAGGATGAGTCTTTCTCCATCAAAACAAGATCCATTCCAAACCAGACACTTCTAGTCTAGCAACATTCAAACAAAATATGCTCAATAGACTCTGTAGCAGAATTACAAATCTGACAGGAAGGCGATGCAGAACATTTTTTCTTGAACAAATTCTCTTGAGTGGCTAGAGTATTGTGGTAGGCTTTCCACCAAAAATGTTTAATTTTAGGGGCTGCCTTCATATTCCAGATGGACTACCATAATTTAGGATGAGGAGAAAACGAAGAGCTTGCCACCGGCTGAGCAGAGACCTCCTTGCAACCTAGAACATACCCAGACCTAACTGTGTAACTGCCTTTGTTTGTAGGCCACCAAATTCTTCTATCTTTCCTCCTGATCAGTGGCAAGGGGATTGACCTGATGGCCTTTAGCTCATCCTTTGATAATAAGCTTTCCATACATGCAATGTTCCAACACTTGGGAAGAACAGAAATAGCATCAGCAACTTTTGAGATAGAACAAACCTAGGGCCTTGGGGATTGAATAGCCATATTGGGGAGCTAGGGAATCCACTTATTATTCCAAAAATAAACCTCCGATCCATCACCGATTTGCCACAATAGCCCTTTTTCGAGGAGTTCCCTGCCATAGAGAAAGCTGGTCCAAACCCAGGATGGACGGGCACCACGTTTTGCTTTCATCAGATCCTCGTTTGGGAAATAAATTGCCTTCATAAATTTCGCCCAATATGAATCTGGTTGATTCAAAAGCCTCCAATACTGTTTAGCCAAAAGGGCTTGATTAAACAACTTGAAATCTTTAAAACCCATCCCCCCAACGGATTTAGATTCAGTCATCTTCTCCCACTACCTCCAGCAAATACCTCTGCTCTCAACACTTCCTTTCCACCAAAAGTTCCTAACGTATGAATTAAGCTTTGCACAAAAACTTATGGGAAATTCCACAACAGACATGGCGTAGTTGGGAATGGCCTGGACAACAACTTTGATCAGAGTTTCCTTCCCAGCCTGTGACAGACATCAGCTTTTTCATCCTTGTAAGCGCTTCACGATCCTCTCAAGGAGATATTCAAACACCTTATTTCTTGATCTTTCCCATGCCATAGGGATTCCCAAATATTTTGCACAGTGGGGGAGAACCTGCATACCCAAACGATGGCATAAAGAGACCTTTTGCTCGGCTGTATTACTAGAGAAGATGATTCTAGATTTCTAGTAGTTGGCGCACTAGCCCAATGCCGTACAGTAAATTTGCAAAATCCTCAGCAATTCCCCAACACTCCTATTACTAGCCTTGAGGAAAAACAAGAAGTCATTTGCAAAGAAGAGGTGTGAGATCATTGGACTCCTCTTGATTTTGATTCCTACTAGTTTCCTGTCATTAACCCCATTCCAGAGCATCGCTGAGAGAACATCAGCAACTAAAAGAAAAAGATAAGGGGAGAGGGGATCCTCCTTCCTGATTCCCCTCTGGGGCGTAACAATGCCAATTTCCTTTCCATTTAACACAAATTGTAGGGTGACAATATTGATACATTACATAATGAGGCTAACCCAATGTCGATCAAAACCCAACTTTGACATTGTTGCTTTCAGGAAGTCCCATTCAACCCTATCGTAAGCCTTACTTATATCCATTTTAATGGCAATTTCAGGCACTTTCCCTTTCTTCTTTCCTTTCAGACGGTGGAACACTTCGTTGGCAATGACAATACTGTCCTAGATTTGTCTATTTGGGACAAAGGCAATTTGGTTTGGGGAAATGATGGAACATAACATTCCTTTCAGTCTATTGGCCATAACTTTTGATATCACCTTGTACAAAAAGTTACAAAGTGCAATTGGTTTGAACTGTTTAATGGTTTCAGGAGCGGCATTTTTTAGGATNGTCTGGACAACAACTTTGATCAGAGTTTCCTTCCCAGCCTATGACAGACATCAGCTTTTTCATCCTTGTAAGCGCTTCACGATCCTCTCAAGGAGATATTCAAACACCTCATTTCTTGATCTTTCCCATGCCATAGGGATTCCCAAATATTTTGCACAGTGGGGGAGAACCTGCATACCCAAACGATGGCATAAAGAGACCTTTTGCTCGGCTGTATTACTAGAGAAGATGATTCTAGATTTCTAGTAGTTGGCGCACTAGCCCAATGCCGTACAGTAAATTTGCAAAATCCTCAGCAATTCCCCAACACTCCTATTACTAGCCTTGAGGAAAAACAAGAAGTCATTTGCAAAGAAGAGGTGTGAGATCATTGGACTCCTCTTGATTTTGATTCCTACTAGTTTCCTGTCATTAACCCCATTCCAGAGCATCGCTGAGAGAACATCAGCAACTAAAAGAAAAAGA